TTACCTCACTTTAATTCTCGGCAAAATTCTATGTGGTAGGTATTACTACCTATATTTTACTGAGGAGAAAACTAAAGTCTGTGGTGGAATGAAGTATTCAAACCCAGGTCTGCCCAGCTCTAATGCCTATATATATACATTTTTAAAAAATGATGACCGGTAAGGGGATCTTAACCCTTGACTTGGTGTTGTCAGCACCACGCTCACCCGATGAGCTAACCGGCCATCCCTATATGGGATCCGAACCTGGTGCCTTGGTGTTATCAGCACCACACTCTCCCGAGTGAGCCACAGGCCGGCCCAATGTCTATATTTTTAAACTGGTTTCTAGTACAGATGTAAGAAGAAGGTCAGAGGTTCATCAGAGTGGTTTTGCTGAAAACAAATGCTTATCTCTGTGTGAGAAGAATGGCTCTGATCCTAGACTTTGTGTTACCTTCATACCATGAGAAACTGATACGTACAACTCAAATATCAAAATAACATTCTCAGGGCCAGTAAATGACAAAAGGAAAAATGATGGTTCTGATACCACGTCATGAGTTATCATGCCTGGATTAGAGTAACATTATGGCTATTATGACTCATACCGTGGGTGAGAACGGAGGTGGTTAGTGTTAAAGTGTACTCCTAGCTACACAGCCCTCAAGTAAAGAAAAAATAAGTTGCTTTGATTCCATCTTCACAATATCCAAGATGGTACATTGGATATAAATTACTGCTAGATAAAGCACAAAATGAATTCTATATTGGAGTGCTTCCTCTTCCCTCTTTGTAGAAGTAAAGTATTTAATTGCTACATGTTGGTTCCACTGCAGCCATAAGACCATGGTCAACTGGAATAGTTACTGAATTTTTCTGGACAGGTGCATGTTTTTGGATCTAGGGACCATGGGCAGACATGGCACTAAGGAACAAATTATGTACTAGCATATAATTATCAAGGGGCAGACCATTCTTATCAGTGATACTTCCGGTCTCTAAAGAAACCTTGCCAGAAACCAGCTAGACTTATAACATACATAAAATAAACTATACATTTTTTACTTTTCCTAATAGGGAATCATCATTGGATTAGTAGAAAGACATCTAAAAGGACATGTATCTTTCAAGATGAACCAGTAATTCAATTCCTTCTCCATGAACTTGAGCTCAAAATTTATTTTTTTCTATTGATGTGGTCCAAATGTTTAGGTCTTCACAGAACACAGAGGAGTCTGTTCAATACAACTTCCCTATCTAAGACTGGCAATCTCACCTAGGATAATTGGGATAAATTTATTCTGTCATTCCTTTTTGGCAGTTGGGAAAGAAAAGCTGTGCTCATATATTGTGTTCTAGTCCTGACTTGGGAAAAAGGCTAAGGTAAACTTTATTCCTCAGGACTATTCCTATTTATTTATTTATTGGCAGCTGGCTGGTACAGGGATGAACCCCGGACCCTGGTGTTACCAGCAGCCATTCCTATTTTAAACATCACCATAAAGCAAAATATGTAAAAACCATAAAAAAAGAAGTGATTTTAGCAGACCTCATAAGAAAAGATATGTGAGTGATCTTCCAGTAGTCATCATTTACCTAATCTCTAAATCCGATTGTCTAGAATTATCCTTTCATAAGAAGGTAGTGAGACTTGCTAAAAGTATGTCATGTTAACTCAAGTATAATGTGATCCATAGAGATACTAGTGATTAAGAAGTGTTACAGAAATTCCTGTTTTTATAATGTAGAATTATTACTTCCTTCTATTTTGAGACTTTAGTATAGGTTTAAAAAAATCCTCTGTTTCCCAAATATTAATATAGGGCAACCATCTTACTTAATGTAGGTATTTGTCTGTTAGTAGTTGAGAAAGAGTCATCGAGGCTCCACAATAAAAAGCAATAAAAAGCAAAGTTGCACCTCTCTCTCTCTTTTTTTTTTTTTTTTTTTTTTCTTTTTTTTGGCCAAGGTTTTTCAAACTTTGGAAAAAAATTTTGGAAAATTGAAAAAAAAAAAGAAAAAAAAGCAAAATTTGCCCCCTCCCTCTCTTTTTTTTTTTTTTTTTTAGTCTCTGATTTGGCCAAGGTTTTTCAGACCTTGGAGAACAAGTTTGGAAAACTGATGACAAGACAGATGAAAATTATAAAGAAGGCAAATACTTTTACAATTCTCTTTCTTGGGTACTTGGTGCAATTAAATACAATTTCAGGCTGACTGAAATTAAGTAAAGCAGCGGAAACATACTCTCTAAGAGAGCAGATGTTGAGTTCAGAAAGAATGGGCTAAATCTTAAGAAAAAGGAATTTTCCTTTTCCTAGTGGTTTGCTTAGTTCAAACACACTAAATGAAAGTGTACAAGGTGCTGTATTTTCAACCTCTCTGGAAACAGGTGATAGAAGTTTGTACTCGGAAGAGGGTGAGACAGGGCAGATGGGGAGAAGGTCTAAAACAGAGATTTCAGCCTATCAACAGTTTCTCCATGACTAACAACAATTCTGCGCTTTTATTCCAGAAGCTCTGCATTGAGTTTTTTAATGAAGTGAAGTGGGCAAAACTTAAGAGTTTGTCTGGATGTTTCTGATCATGCCGGTAATTGAGAGATAAAAACAGTCCTGAGGAAAACCAAGTAAGTACCAAAGCAGCCTGCCCGTCGTCATCTAAAGTGGATCTGACAAATGCTGCTGGGCTATAGCAGTGGGATTCTTGATATATCCTTTTAGGCGGGCTTTTAAGCTTCATGCCACTCAATCCTCTTCTTCCCAGAAGGCAGATCTAATGAAACTCAGCCATAACTCTGCTCAAGTGCCAACTGGCTATGACATTTAAGCAAAGCTTCTGCAGACTTTCCTGCCTCCCAGACCTTAAGTCCATTCCATTTACTTTAAATAGACAAGCAGTATTAAACTCAATACATTTGATTGGTTCCATTTCACTGCAAGGTGACAGAGGATTCAAGTGGTCAGAAAACTAAAATTACCTACTTCTACTTGCCATTATTGTCAAGGGCAATGAGAAGATGATCTTTCAAAAAGGGTAGGGTTCAGCTTCAGTCCTCAAATAATAAGTAGAAGGCCCTCAGAAGCCAGCAAATATCAATGTCTTTTCTTCCTTGGTCAAGCTTAGTTCATCACCTGAGAAGCCTTCATGGCTTTCTGCCCAAAAGCATCACTGAAAACAGCCCCTCCCTAGAGGCCTGCTCTTTAGCTGCAGCTAAACATTTGTGTTCAATGCCCCACAGTAAAGGCCCTCTTAATGGTCACCACCAAAGACCCTGCAAAGTTCCACTCACTCCACCACAATACAGTGTGCACCCCCTTGACTCTGGTAACAGAATTTCTGCAACTGTGGATATGTAATAGTCCTCTCTCCTCCATGGCCTGTTTGTCCATCTGTTTTCCTACTCCAGTACCAGCTCATCTCGGCTTTGACTGACTATGGTGGGAGGAGATGCATAGGCCATACACACCTTTACCAGCTCCCTGGCCTCACTACAATCATGCCATCACCCCACCAGCTACTTTCCTCAAACTTAACCAGTCTCTTTGGACAGGTGGCTTTTATAGACAAACACCCAACTCCAATAATTGCCTTATTTATGAACCCATCATCTACCCTGCCCTGCCTTCTTGGGGTCACATTCGTGTCTTTTGTCAATACTCATCTTCAACCAGAGAGGAGAAGACAGTCTTCCCACACCATGTTGGATGACCTATGCTAGAGACACTTCATTTGATCTCCCTGACAATCCTCACATTCAGGCCCACTGCATTTTACTGTTTTAGGAGCAATTTCTAAATCCTTCCTAAACCACTCATCTTTATATTAAGTAGATTTGCACGTCCACCTATTCCAGAATACACTCCTAGAAGCATTCAACTGTTCCATCTTACACAACTTTTCCAGGACTTAAACAGAAGAATGAATTGTATATGGAGGTTTGCTACCTTATCTCATTAATCTGTAAGATGTCAAAGCCCTCTTAATTCCTCTGTTCATCCTATTTTCTCTCTTACCGTTGAAATTACCCAATAAGATAAGATAAAGTACATAGTGCCTGGCATATAGTGTGTTTTTAATGCATTTTAGTTCTCTTAACTCTTTGACTAATCTATCCTCTCAAATGTAGGTTTTTTGCTTTAAAAAAAAAAAAACTTTCTCATGTTATAGCTCTGAATTCTCTTCAAATGGTAGTGCACTTTACTCAGTCAGTGCTCAGTAATAGGGACGTATTTGTCTCTTTTATGAACATTTGGGCAAGAGCATAGGAAACATTTTCCCAGATCATAGGAAAATGGGTATCTCAAGTCTGCATAGATGTTAATGTTAATTTAATAAGCCACTTTTTTTTTTTTTAAAGATGACTGGTAAGGGGATCTTAACCCTTGACTTGGCGTTGTCAGCACCATGCTCACCCAGTGAGCCAACCGGCCATCCCTATGTGGGATCCGAACCCCTGGCCTTGGTGTTATCAGCACCACACTCTCCTGAGTGAGCCACTGGCCGGCCCAATAAGCCACTTTTGAATAACCCCTATGAGCAGTACTAGAAGTAGAGAGAGATATATAAGGAAATACATATGGTACATAGTCTCTGCCCTCTAGAAGTTTAAAATCTAATTTCTGAAGTAAAATATGCCTATGAAGCTACTGAAACAATGCGAGGCAATAGTGCATACCTGGTCTTCCTGTTTCTAGTCTCTCTCTCATGTGATCCATCCCACACACTGCCTCATTGTACCAAAACAGTGCTTTCTAAATGTCACTCCACTCCCCCTGCTTAAAAACCTTCAATAGCACCTTATAATCTACAGAATGAAGTTTGAACTTGGCCTGGCATTCAGGCCTCCACAATGCAGAGTTTAAACATCTCCAATGTCAAGTCCTATCTCAAGTCCTACGACTGGAAAATGAAACTTCTGCTTCATACAAGTCTCCTTGTCCTTTGAACATATCATGTGCATTCCCTCTTGCATCTTTGCTCATATCATTTTCCCTACCTGATTTTCTTTCTCCCTTCTCCTTTTTGTTTTTTTAAATCCACTTTCTACCCTTTTAGGCCCAGTTCAAGTTCACAGTCTAGGGCCTCTTCCGTCAAGCATTCTCTTTCTACCTCAGTTCATGGCTCTCTTAACTTCCCTCCTCTTAACTTCTAGTACATAGTACACATAGTCTGCAGTATCCTTATTTGGCACTTAGCCTATATTATCTGTATTTTTATATATATATAGTGTGTGTGTGTGTGTGTGTGTGTGTGTATATATCTCTGAGACTACATTACAGTCTTATATTTTTTATATAGTTTTACACCCCTGACATCTAGCACAAGGATTTACACAGAGTAGGTTCCTATAACTGTTAATGTGAATATTAAGAATAAATCAAGTGCACATACTCCTAAGACAGGTTTCTAACACCTCCAGCAACCAGACACTTTAAATTCATTATATCTAACACCTTTAGTCCTTTCTTCTTCACAAATTAGTGTGAGCCTGTCACCCTAAATTCAGGTTACTTTTCCACTCCAACCCTCAGCATTCCCAGTTTCCAAAAGACAAAGCCCGGTACTCACAGTGAACTTTATTTGGATTTGTCTGTTTCCGACGGGACATGTTTCCCTGATCTGAGAGCTCTGGCCTTTCCCAGTTTCACAACTGGATATGTTACTACCTCCTTGCAAGGTGCTAACCTACAATAAAAAAAGAATACTGTTAAAAAAATAAAATAAAAAGGACGTTGTTGGTACATGTTATTTTCCCCAGAAATTATATAAAATTATAAGATAAAAAGACTCTAAAGATAGCTCCCGAGCTCATAAAACTCACCAGTTATAAATAGTTGAACAAAAGAAGGAAAGAAACGAATAAATCTCTAGCACTATGTCAAGGTCCAAGAAGTTTAAGAGAGGACTCCTTCACAGGATTTAGAGAGTTCCACTCTAAATTCATCTTTGGAATCCAGAATACTGTTAAGTGATCATGATCAAGGTCACAGGACAGAAAAGGAAACAAAATTCAGGCAGCCAGGGTTAGAAGAACTGTGGGCTCAAAGGGATAACCCCCATGAATTGTAAAAGGAAGCAAAAGGAAGCCAAACAGGGTGGCAGTTTAGATGTCACATGCCCACTAAAAGTCCAGCCATGCAAGCTGCACCAGTGGGAACCTCCAGACATTTTTTCAAGAAATTATCTTGTCTAGAGGTAACAAAGGCATCACATTCTTGTGAGGAATATCCCAGAACTCTTAGGCATCTGTAAATGAAAACAGTACAGGAAATAGAGCCTCTACCTAATGATGCAGGCACAGTGATGACAGGGCATTACAGTAAATCAAACTTCCAGTGTTGAAGATGGGCTCTCATCAGAAGAGTCACATGCCATCCACATTGTTCAGTACTAATTCAACACCCCAATGCGAAACACCAACCTGGCCCTGTTCACGTGTTCCAGAGAAGTACTCAAAGTTAATAACTTTAGAGCCTCTTCTCAATTCAGCCTCTGGGTAGCAAAGAATACAGTGGAAGGAACAAAGAGAAAAGCTTCCCTAATGCAAAGTGCTGCAGAGACATGCATTGCCCCCTGATACAGAAGGGGACTTAAGATACTTAAGCTTGGAGATTCCTAGTTTAATGACAAGAAAGACTGTCCCAGCCATAGCTTTGTTAGAGAATCTGAATGGATTAGTAATGCAAGCTGTCACATTTTCTTCAAAAATATAGAGTGAATGAACAAACAGATATAGAATAAAAAGAGATGGATTCTCTATCCTACCAAAGACAGGAATGTGGATCTGGTCACCCTCTAAGTTTTCTTTCAGTTCTTGCCTTCTTGAATTATACTCACATTGAATAAGTAAATATGAAATTGTAGCTTATTGCCTTAAGAGGCAACTACTAGCTGTACTTTGCACTCCAGTTAATGAAGACTCACCTCCTGTTATGCCAACTAACTCATCTGTGTAGCTAGCAAGGACCTCAAACCTGTAATCAGATCCTGCCTTCCCTTACCAAAAGAAGAAAGAAACCGCAAATGGCAAAGACAGGCCTCCACAGGAAGTGGCAAAGGAAGCAGCTTTCAGGCAGTCTTCTATCATATCTGCATATCAAACACAGTTCTTTTTCAGACCTTTAATTAAAGAACAAAAAACAAAAAAACTCCAAATGTGTACAGTAAAAATCAATTTTTACTATTTAGAGGGCAGTATACTGAGTGCTAATGCTAATGATAAGTGTTCTCTGTTCTAAGTTTTGTTCGTGTATATCATTTCTTTCTAATCAAGTAATTATTTTATTAATGAAAGCAGTAAATGAATATCACACTTTGGATCTTTTCTTATACGTCTTTGGAATCACAAAGTGGAAAGTTGAATGAAACACAAGTTGTCTATTAATTTTTCTGAAATACAGGGCCAGCCCGTGGCTCACCTGGGAGAGTGTGGTGCTGATAGCACCAAGGCCACAGGTTCGGATCCCTATATAGGGATGGCTGGTTGGCTCACTTGGGAGAGCGTGGTGCTGACAACACCAAGGCAAGGGTTAAAATCCCCTTATCAGTCGTCTTTTATTAAAAAAAAAAAAAATTCTGAAATACACCTCTCTATTGTACAAGGAAAAAAAAAACAGAATCTTGATTAATCTTTACATTTTCTCCCCATTACCAGAAATTCCAGAACATTTTTATCACCTCTGAAAGAAACCCTATACAATTAGAGATTAAGGTAATAAGGTCCCTTCTGAAGGAAGGCCAAATAATTTGAATCAGGCTCCATTCAGATCATTTTGGCAAGGTAAGAGTTCAATACTAAAGCTACAAGTCCGAAGCCAGAGATGAATATCTGCATATTTAAATCGGCAGTGTCCACAGCATCTCACAATCCTCCTAGTGGCAAAATGGGGAACTGACCAGATGGTACCCAATGGGACTTCACACCTGAGGGATCAAGGGAAAACTAAGCAAATACCTCCCCTCCCTCAAAACAAAAACAATAACAACAAAAACTCCCCATTCCCCTCCCCCCCCAAAGGCCTGTAAGGTTATGGACTCTTGAGAATAAATATGTAAATAAATAAATTGCACTGAAAAGACACTCTTGACCACAAAGCAAGAGCTCAGAAGTTAGATAACTGTTTTATAGGCAGTAAAAGTTAATAAAACCTATAGACATATTGCCCTAAAGTTCACTCGTTCCATTTCACGTTTAGCAGTGCCTCAGTTTCCAAGCCCAAATTTGAAACCAAACCAAAAATGTAAATGAATAGCTGCCTGAACATGGGATGTTCAGAAGAAAATGGGATGGGAAGAAAGGTAAACGGTGAGGCTCGGGTCTACAAGGGACTCTTTTAATAGAGGAAGACAGCTTTTTCCATCTTGAGCGAGGTTGAGTCCTTGGGAGAGGGTGCAACGTCTCTCCTGAACACAGTCTCTGCTCTCCCACAAGTAATAAGTTGCAGCTTCTACTGCACATCACAGACTTTAGCAAGAAAAAACGGGTGAAATCCCAGCTTTATGAAAAGAGGGTGCACTCCCACCTCCAGCTCTGGTGCAGTTCCCACGGAGCAAAGTAAACTCGACTGAATCCAAGTGATTTGTATCTGCCAAAAAGGAGAGGACAAGAAAGCCGGTCACGTAGCAGCCTCACCGTTCACCCTGTCCTCCCTTGGGTTGGGTCTGGAGCGTTTGTATAATCAGCCGGGATGTTCCCTCTGGCTGCTTCAAGCGCGAGCACAGGTAAATTCCCAGGAATTACAAGAGCCCGAGGTCTTCCGAGGCGGCTCAGACAAACCCTCAGACAACCCGGTCTTCTCCGAAATCTAAATTTAAAAGCTTTTCTGTGAGACCGCGACCGGGGACTGATTCCCCCCGGTCTGCACTCCCACGCCCATGCTCCCCTCCTCCAGCTCCACCCAAGCCTGTCAGACGCAGTCCCACAGCCGGAGCCCGGCGAGGCCGGGGACCCGCGGCCCGGCAGCCACTGCAGGGCCCACGCGGGGAGTGCGGCGGTGCGGATCCCCCTCCCCCACCCCCGCGCCCGAGACCGCCGGAGGGACGTTAAGAGGCACGGCCGCGGCGGGGAGCCCGGGGAAAGGGGGGCTGGGCCGCGCGGACGGGTGAGCCTGGGCTGTCCCCGCCCCCCTCCCCA